ATAACTGACATTTTTGGCGAAAATGAGTTATATAGCCTAGTGGGGTCAGTACATTATGTTACACATGTTGACACAAAAAAAATTGTAAAAAAGTGTTCCCCGGGCAAGATAAGGGCATGGCAAAAGTACATAACTACACAATTTCCAGTAAATTCCCAAGGCAAAAGGGCATAACTGTAAAGATAGGCTGTGATACGCTGAAGCGTGACGTTCTTTCAGCAGCCAACCAATCAGAAGAGAGCTTTCTCCCTGGTTACAATGAAGGTTGCTTGTTAAGTTTTATTATTTTTATTATTCTTACTGTTTGTGTACTCACAATTTGTAAATAGAAATTGGTTAAATAGTATGATTCTTGACAGTAGCATATGTCTAATTAATATTAGGCAAACATGATAAGTCTAGTTAATTTATGCTATATAATCTTGCCTTACTTTGAATGGCAACAGTTTAATACTATGGAAATAAACTATGGGAAAATAGTAACTGTTTAATAAAAAATAATTAACCATGGCAGAATAACAATTTACATTTTAACTAGAAATAACAGTGGCAAAGAGGGACAACTAAAACGATTATTTAGCCAATAACAATGACAAAGAGGCACAACTACAACATTTATTTATAGCAATTAGCATAACAAAAAGGTATAACTGCACAGTTTACTCGAATCAACTGTGTTGACTAAGCAGACAACAACTTACTTTTCCATCTAAATCTAAATATATAATACATTTTCTAAATATTTTACTGGAATATTAAAAAAAACATTAATATTCATAATCCTTTTATTATTACTTGAATTTGGATCATAGAGAAGAATTTCTAATAATAATAATAATAATATTAACAATAATAATAATAATAATAATAATATTAATAATAATAATAATAATAATAATAATATTAATAATAATAATAGGCCTAATTTATATTGTAATTAAATGACTTAAAATATATAGTTATTATTTTACTTTGTAAATAAAATTAAAAAAATAATTGTAATTCTTGTTTAACACATAGGCTATGTTCAGACACAACGACTTACGCTAGCGTAACGTTAATCGAGTGGTGTGAACTTGTGCGCGGCGTAGCGAACGCCAGTATTATAGCGCAATCACTGGCGTACGGTAATCCAGCAACAGACCCCAGATTAGCGTACGCCACTGATCTACGACAGTCACGCATCGGTGATTTTGAACTCAGCCAAGATTTGACCAATCAAAATAAACCTAGATGTAAACAGAAAATAAAATGCGCGAATTACGAATACGAATATTTCGCGTGAATACTTACGCTAGCGTTCATCGCCCAGTCTGGACATCTGGCTAGTTACGCCATGGATTAACGTACGCCCGGCGTTAGATACGCCTGGCGTATCTTACAGGTCTGAACGTAGCCATAGAAGCAGTCACACGCGCATTCTAACTAAACAGCAGTTCTATTTTATATACTCATACGCATGCATCTTTCACGCAGTGACGTAACGCCTATGCGCTCTTGTGCAGGGCCCCAGACCCTTAGGGGTCCATAAGGCCCCCTACCCACAGAGTCCTCGATCTAGCACCTTGAGCCAAAAAGGCTTTGTTGATACATAGCAGAATACTAATGTTAATTCATTTTATTGTTTGTATACTTGGTTAGCCTATACATTGGTTTTTAATCGTTTGTAATTTTAGTACAGTATTATTTAATGCGTTTCTTTGGTATTATTGTACATTTATTTGATAGTTTATACATGAATAACATATGAAAATATATATTGAATATAATTTTTGAATAATCTGACTTAAAATTGCGTTGAAAGGAACTAAACTGTGTACTTATATCCTTTTGCCAAGGTTTGTCAACATGTCTTGAATCATAAAACCCACGGCAAAAGGGCATAACTGACATTTTGAGCGCAAAAATCAATATTTATATAAAAAATGTGTGCTACACTGGATAAGATATTTGTTTATTTGAATACATTAACCATTAAATCAAACACTAAAACACATTTTAGGGCTAAATAAATTACACGTTTTGCTTAATATCTCCAAAACAGCAAATTGTCAGTTATGCCCTTTTTCCATGGGAGGGCAGTGTAAGTCAATGAAAGTTGTTTTTTTTTTACTTTTATCATATATTATTCATTTTAAATAAGCTATTCAATTTTTGTAATTCGGTAGACAGCCTGTATAAACAATACGTCATATCGGATTTGGTAAACATAATGTTTAAACATATTTGCTTTTAGTATAAACCTTTGTCCATTACTTTTATTCATATTTAATATGAACGAACTGTTTCTTAGAAATCAACAATAATACAATACATAAAATTGTCTTAATACCTACGGTATGTCTGGGCGTTTCTAAACGTTTTTATATCCTTCAGAATCAGTAATACTTAGTATACAGGGTGCTAATCTTTTACACTATCTGTACTAGTACTCAGAGTGAAAAAAAACCCGATAGATTAAAGACCATGCTGTACGTTAACAGTGGTATATGGATTTATTACAATACAAATAGTCCATTAATTTTCACTGTGTCGACTACACACTGCCTCGACCAACTACCAAAACATGTTGGCGTACCTACTACTGTTAAGCCGTAGACCGAAAGGTCCACTGATTAATCTCAGATAAGAAAGTATAATACATACTCCAAGTATTGAAATACACTCCATCGTGTTGGGATTCAAAGCCGTAGCTTTCAAATTTTACAAGCAGCGAATACTGCTTTCGCAACTCATGAGAGGGAATGACAATAAATAGCGTCCTCTATAATTTCTGCCTTAACTGTATGGGGAAAATAATGCAAGCCGCCCAGGTATGAGGTACAGTATGTAAACACTCGTTGTTGTATTGTCAATGATTTTTTGGCAATGACGATCTATCCGGGCGATCTATCTAGTCTTAGACCTTGTATTTAAATCACTCGAGTATTACCATTCTAAATCAATGTATGCTTAGGGCCTAAGCCTAGCCCGAGGCATAGACGAATAATAGGCTTAAGGAGATGTAGCGCGGTTGGACCAATTTAAAAACAAAGATTTGTATGGTTCTACGACATGTTTTATTAAATAGATAAGTAAATCATTTATATAAAAGATATAATTTCATTATTATACATAATCATAGAAATTGCTCAGTATCAAAAGCCATATTTTTAGAAACTTACGATTTTCGCAGACATATCTTATACTCTCGTTACAACTGCGTGCACTCCATAGACCGGTTTCTGCGTCAAGAGCCGCACAGTGACCATTAGTTAATGTGGGTTCGCCGTCCTTCCAATCTGAGATCATAAGTTGTTATGTTATTATTTTTTATTCACCTACTCACAGGTTTTTGTTTTTGTTTTTGTTTTGTTTTTGTTTTTTATTTGTAAGCATGGAGGTATTATTGAGAAGGAGATCACTCGAAAAAGCTACGCGCTCGCAGCGCTATGCAAATGAGGAAAGAACAAAGCTCCATGGTGTAAAATGTTATTACTTACTGTTTACGTTGCTTGACCTTTTGCCTACTATAGAAGTGCGAACCATAAGTATTAAAAGTTCTATGGTGCAATTATGTGCACTAATGATTACCATTGGCAGGTTAAAGTCAGCTGGTGAAGTTAGCAGTGTAAAAGGTAACTTAAAACATCATAGTGACATCTCAGTATGGTTCGGATCATAACAAAGAAATTTATACCTAGTTGGCTTTTCCCAGCAGTAGTTGGAAAAGCTTTTGTTTTTGTTGTTTAATTGGCTTTTCCATTCAGTAGCTTGAAAAACCTTGTTGTTCTCGATTATTTTTCTCTTACATATCGATTTTTTAGTAAGTTTGCACTGACTTTGTTGTTATCCGCTCGGTACGTGGGTCACATTCAAAGCTTATACCTTTTACAAACACTATCCAAACATAGATCATATATAAAATATGTGCCTCCTAAAATTTAGTGACAAGAGTGAGGGGGGAGTGCTGGTGTGGACGTTAGGACCAACTAAGGTTATTTAAAGGTCTACACCAGATATGTCATAAATGAATAAATGGAACTTTCAAACATAGATGATCATGATCCAGTAAAGAAATTACTAAATTTTGCTAAAAATCATGAGTATGGTATGGATATGAGAAACTGATCTGCTGATCTGAATGAAATTTTAAGTTAAGTTTAAACAAGTTACAACGAAGAAATTAGTAAAATTTTTTGACGATCCATAAGCGGGATTTGATCATTTAGAATGCAAATCTCCAAGAACTAAACAACTTAAATAATTCATTAATGGATCTTAATAAATTGTCATAAATAGTTTTTCTTTTCTTCTTTTTCATGGTCCAATGGAGAAATGATTAGTATTTGGTGTCGACCTAGAGTAGGGTGTAGATATGAGGACCTTTCAAAGGGAAATGTTTCTAGCCAGAAACTGACCTACTGATTTTAATGAAATGTTGTGAAAAGTCTAACAAAATTAAAAAGGAAGAAGTTATTAAAATCTGGTAACGTTCCAGACCCGGGTGTGAATTTTGGGTCATTTTAAGTTCTAACGTCCCATACCTAAATATCTCAAAAACTCACCATTGGATCTAAATGAAACGTGACTGAATATTTTTTTTTGTTTTTTGTTTTTTATCGTCCAATAAAGAAATCATTACATTTTGGTGAAGATCCGAAGTAGGATGTGGATATGACACTAAATGGAAACAACCCAAAAACTGATCGCCTGAATTTTGAATGAAACAATCTTAGATAATTTTACCATGTTACAAGGAATAAAATGTTGAATTTTAGTGACGATGCAGATTCGGGTGTGAGTCTGAGGGTCATTTAAGTGCAAAAGTCCTATACCAAAATATCTATGAAAAACATATTGGTGTAATATTTCACCACCTGAGTTGACAGATTTAAATATTAACAGAAACACCTGTCATAGGCTAGATATAATGTGTGCTATTCGTAGAATGGGTTGTCGAGCCAATCTGAGCTGAGTATATACAACGAAGTTAATAATGTTTACGAAACTGAGTATTTCGATATTGTGTATTCGTGTCAAGGATACAACACGCTGGCATCCTTATAAGTCACATCGTACTGTGCTTTATTTAAACTCAATATAGCAGATTTGATAGTATTATTACTGTTTTTAGGATGGGCGAGGGGGTCAAAGTTCCTGCTGTCGTCATTGGACAGACTGGTCCTTAAATATGGTGAAACTTAGGAGACTACTTAATAAGTGCCTGATTGTAAGAAACCACCAGTTCTTCTAGCGCTATTGGGGCTAAAGTTTACAAGACTATTCTGAGCCGATACAGATTAATAGCAGAAGTTAATTTTATTTGCGTACATTATTACTCTAGCATTATGGCTCAAAACTTCTAATTGTTTACGTTTCCATTTTTCTACATGAGGTTTGCGAATTGGAGAATATATTGCTCATTATGCTGTAGAACTACAACATTTGGCTAGTTCTTGTTCATTTTTAACGTTTTTAGACGATGCTCTACTTAATCGTTTTGTGAGTGGTATGATTGAAATTGATTTGAAAGACCTGCGTACAGTAAAAGAGGAGTCGTCTTCAGCTAGTGTACAATATATGAATCACCGTCTTTCTCGAGCTAAACATACAAACATACATGATATCTCAAAATCACAGATCGCTGGTAAGTGTCGTGTCCATAACAAAATTTGGATTTAAACCATGACTGTTCTCTCTAACGGTATTCTTGAAGGTTGACTAAATTTAGTCTTGGTTTAGGCCAGGGGTAAATCGGTCGAATGTTAATCCGCCGAGATCCCTGGTTTTTAATTAACAGTCGAGTAACAAAGATAGCCAGCTTGCCCGCAGTTCAACACGGCGGAATTAAAAAAATTAATTAATTCAACGTATAAGATATAATTTTAATATAATTTTGTCTAAGGAATTAAATTAAAGTTTAAATTGACTTACATTATATGTAAATGTTTTAAATGCAAACGCGTATTCTACACAATTTACGCATTTTTTTCCCTTGCAGCAATAATATACATTTTTATTGTATGACAATGCTCTTTATTAGTAATATTTAATTTAAATATTAAGAGGAACCCCTGTCATAGGCTAGATTTAGTGCGTGCTTTCGTAGAGTGGTTAGTACAGTCTACCTGAGCTGCGTATACAGTGAGGCTAATAAAGTTTACAAAACTCAGTATTTTGATATAGTCCTACTGTATTATTTTATTGTGTATTTTAGAGTCAAGGATACAACAAGTATCAATGGATCTAAATGGAACTTTCTAAAACAGTTTGTAATGTTTCAATGGTAAATTTTGGTGACGTTCCGAACTGGAGGGTGAATATGAGGACCATTAAAAAATATTTTTGAACTGGTGATTAAAACTATATAATGCAAGTTGCCTGCTAAACTAAAGCCTTTGAAACCAGCTGCAGCTAAGTTAAACGAAAAATTACCGTCAAATACATCGCTCTTAGTCACTGAATTACCATGATATTACTCAAGGTACATTGTCTTCTCATATAGCGTGCCAATGGAATATGAGCTTCTATGTACCTCGCTATTACCAATTTAGCTATAGTTCGAGTCTTATTAAAGTACAGTTAGTTTCTTTAAATTATTTTTTTTTTTAGTATTTAGTAACTTTGTTTCGTTTTTGTTGTTACTTTATAAAAAAAACACAAATGAAATTACCTTTTATTTATTTATTTTTTGTTGCAATTTTAACATCACTTCTCATTATATTGTGGCAGTAAGAAAAACCCATGTGATCGGTTGTACAAACAGACACAGTAAGTCCAGTTAGGAATATTTTTCGTTGATAGACTATGGCCGATAGGATCTTATACCAGTTCTTTTGTTTTAACACGTTTTTATTTGATATCATATGCCAATAAAATACTGTGCTTTGCTCCAGTGCTCTCTCTACTCCATCAGATGTTACATGTGACAAATTTGTGTGATGTGCCCATATATTATATGGCATTACGATGTCACATTACGCCCTCAAAATATGCACGATCTTCATTTTATCACTATCATGCTTTAGTAATGGCATGACATGACTGCTTTTTATGCTCTGCTTTTATGTTGAACATGTTTTATACTGATGATACGATATATAGTTGTATAATATATCTTGTGGCTTATAAAAACATAATTGTTGATGGATGATGGTTGGTGGTTTATGGATGATGGTTGGTTGTCTTTGAATGATGGATGATGGTTGTTGGTTGATGGGTAGTGGGTAATGGTTTACGGTTGATGATTGATGATGATGGTGAACTGACTGAACAACACTTAAGCCCTTGATTGTAATTCATAATATATATTTTTCAAAATATATTTCAACGTAAATAGATTAAGCTTGAAAATGAAAAAAACAAAATTATAGTACGTTATTCATTTAGCATTCAACTGTAAATACAAACGATACTATCATCGTTATCAATAATAATAAAGTTATATTTTAATACATAGTCTGTTGGTATAAAAAAATGAAACAAAACATTTTTACGATATAGCATGAAACAATCGGGTGAACTTACTTTCAAATGTCGAGTTTCCTGAGCCTGAGTCCCATTCCCACATCTCCGATGATGTATTATAGCGGTACCCTATCCACACTTCGGTGGTATTGCCAGTATATCTGCCATACCAACCGTAATGAAGGAGCTTGTCATTTTCGTTCTGGTTACTAATTACTATTATGTCACTAGCCCTTGATTCAATACAGGCCGTCTTTGCTTTATACCAGTCAGTCTTTGATCGTCCAACATAGTAACAGTGTTCTTCGTAATAAGCATTTGCTCTAGAACCACACGCATATACACATCTGTTCTACGACATGTTTTATTAAATAGATAAGTAAATCATTTATATAAAAGATATAATTTCATTATTATACATAATCATAGAAATTGCTCAGTATCAAAAGCCATATTTTTAGAAACTTACGATTTTCGCAGACATATCTTATACTCTCGTTACAACTGCGTGCACTCCATAGACCGGTTTCTGCGTCAAGAGCTGCACAGTGACCATTAGTTAATGTGGGTTCGCCGTCCTTCCAATCTAAGATCATAAGTTGTTATGTTATTATTTTTTATTCACCTACTCACAGGTTTTTGTTTTTGTTTTTGTTTTGTTTTTGTTTTTTATTTGTAAGCATGGAGGTATTATTGAGAAGGAGATCACTCGAAAAAGCTACGCGCTCGCAGCGCTATGCAAATGAGGAAAGAACAAAGCTCCATGGTGTAAAATGTTATTACTTACTGTTTACGTTGCTTGACCTTTTGCCTACTATAGAAG